CCATGAGCGATTGTGAGTTCATTTCGGAAATTTTGTTTAAATATTGATTTCATTAATTAGATGAGTTTATTATGGTTGTGTTCATTATATGCAATTGTGTTTGGATAGATTTGGGCCATTCGGAGTCGGATATTCTAGGAAAAGGCATTCTTACTGATTGATTGAGCTTGGTTCGAGGTAAGTGGCTTGCCTAACTTTGTGTGGGGGAAATCCCCTTAAGATTTGGAACTATTGTGATATGTGAGCGCCGTGTACGTGAGGTGACGAGTATATACACGGGTTAGTTATGGTAAAACCCAATTTTTCTTACTGAGCAGCAACACGTTTTCTGTTATTTTGAGTTATACGATGTTAATGAGTACTAATCTATTTTTCATTCTTAATTGAGTGATTCCAATATGTGTAGCTATCATGTTTAGTCTAATACAACATGTCTGCGTGTCTTATTGTTTATGTGAATTATGTGCAGCATGCTTAGTGAATTTCCTGCTTTTTCCTTGACTGGTACTTAGTCTAAATCGTAAGATTTCGTGATGTAGTTGCATTTCTATTGTTTGCGCTGCATATTTACTTTGGGACTACGGAACGATATTCCGAGAGATCCCCCTGTACTGCATATTTACTTTGGGACTACGAAACGGTATTCCGGGAGATCCCCATATACTGCATATTTACTTTAGGACTACGGAACGGTATTCCGGGAGATCCCCTTGTACTGCATATTTACGTTTGGGACTACGGAACGGTATTTCGGGAGATCTCCCTATCTTGCATATTTACTTTGGGACTATATTACGGTATTCCGGGAGATCCGCCTACATATTTACTTTGGGACTACAGAACGGTATTCCGGGAGATCCCCCTACACATTTACGTTTGGGACTACGAGACGGTATCTCTGGAGATCCTCTGTTGTGTTTCTGTGTACTAAGCTGTTACCTTCTAGATTTCATTGTTGTTAAATTTCAGCCTTTATTTTATTACGGTATTACACTCTATATAGTTTTATTATATATTACTAGTAGGGCCCTGACCTGACCTCGTCACTACTTGACCGAGGTTAGGCTTGGCTCTTATTGGGTACCGATTGTGGTGTACTCATGCTACTCTCTGCATATATTTTTCGTGTGCAGATCTAGGTGCACCTTATGAGCCGCACTATCAGTGAGTCAGGACAGCTTCGGAGACTTCAAGGTATATCTGTCGTGTCCGCAAACCTCGGAGTCCCCTTCTACTCTTTCTCATGTCCATTATCTTATGTATTTTCCTTGTTAGATTCTGATGTATAGAGACACTAGATTTTTCCTTTTGTAGTTTGTGATTCACGATCTTCCGGGTTTTGGGATTTGTTGTGTATTTTTGAATAGTTGGTTAAATTTATATTTTTATTTCACCATTCCGCAAAAATGTTAGGCTTACCTAGTTGTAGAGACTAGGTGTCGTCACGATATCACACGGAGGGGAAATTGGGTCATGACACTTTGCATATCTTAGCGTTCTTGATTTCGGTCAAGATGTCGAAGTTCTGAGCATGGACTCCCTCGAGGGTGTCCCTTCGGGATTCCCACCTCGCATGTTTCACCATGTTTTTTGCTTGCTCCTAAATAGCCTCGACATCAACCTTGAACCGGGCCACCTTTTTATCAGCCTCGGTCTTGGCCGTGACGACCTCTAACTTGGCAGCTTTGGGCTCCTTAGCCAGATTCTCTTGACCAAAAACGACCGAGTTCAGCTGAGATTGGAGTCCCTCGATCATTTTGGCCTGCGCCAAATTCTTCTCCTTTGTAGCCTGAAGTTGGGCCTCAGCTAAAGCCAGCGGAGTCCGGGCAGTCTCTTTATCTGAGGCCAGACGATCCATATTTTTCTTCCACTCTTCGGTCTCGGCTTTGACTGCATCTACCTTACCTCGGACGAGAATCATTAGCTATTAAGTCCGACTCATCGTCACTAACTTCAAAATATCTTCTTACCTGCTCGACCAGGTCAGAATGTTCCCTACGAGCCGCTTCCAGCTCAGCTTGGGATTTTTCATTAAGGAGCTTATAAGCATCCCTCTTTTCAGCAAGCTCCTGGGCCTTGACCTCGAAACGTTTTGACTCCTCCCGGTATCGAAGAAAAGCCTCGTGATGAAGCACCGAGGCCTACAAAAACAAAGGAAAAATGTTATGATTATTCATGATTAAAGTTAAGAACATAATAAAGGGGCATTCAAAATTACCCGATTCAGCGCCTGTTGAGCATCGTTGAATAGGCAGGGCGCCTCTACCTCGTTCATTTTTGTTTGATCCTCTTTGGTCACCAAGCACCGAAGGTAACTAGCAATCCCCACCGGGGAAGAAAGAACCCGGGCATCCTCCGAGAACGACATGTAAATTGCCCGTCTCCGAGTAGGGTCAACACTCGAAGCTGGGAACTGGTTCACTAATTGTGGGGTTGAAGAAGGCCCGCCGACTTCTGGGGATGGTGTCTTTTTTATTACTGGTAAGTCGCCAAACCCAGTAACATCCTCTGAGGTGGTAGAATCCAGGCCATCGAAGAAATGGTGAAGAGAATCTACTGCTCCTTGGGCCCTCTCGCCGAGGTTACCTTTCAGTGTCTGAGCCTCGTTTATCATCGAATCAGTAAATGACGGCGACCCAGTGAGGTCGATCACCCCAAGCGCCTCCTTAGGCATACTATCTTCTGATCGGGAAGTACCGGCCAAATTCCCTTTGTCAACTTCCCCAGCTCGGAGCGAAACGGTCTCGACCCTCCCTGGTTCAGAGGCTTCGGCCGCTACTTCTTCTACGACCTCCCTGACTTAAGGCAGTTCAGAACCACTTCTCACACGGGCCACCAAATTAGAATCTTCTTCTTCTTCTTCGGAGTCATCCCTTAATTAACCCTCTTCGGTAAAGTCGAGATCTGTACAAGAGCATGAGATGGTGGATGGTGAATGAACATCCCTCGACCTTGCTCACAAAGAATCGAAGCAAAATAATAATCCTCTAAAATTAAGGATGTATCTGCCCGAGCGTCACATCATACCTTTTGTAAAAGGCTATGATAATCGGGTCTGGAGGACCCAGCGTGAAAGGGTAAGTGTAAACACTTAAGAAACCCTCTACATAGGTGGTGATTGATTCTTCAGGGGTATGAACCATTACGAGTTTGCCTACCCAGTTGCAGTCCTCTTTAACTTTATCGAGGATGCTGTATGTAATCGTATATATGTACCTCGAGACTGGTTCACATCGATCTGGTACCATGGGCGTATTCTCAACCTTGAAGTCGTCCACAATCGGTCACCCAACAGGATGTATGATTTCAGAGGGGATTCCTCAGTAGCAGTAAGAGAAACATTTTCAGAAGTTTTTGAAGAAGAGAGTGCTTTTCTTTTAGGAACAGACTTTGAAGTCTTTGCCATTTTTTTAAAATAAAAAACGAATGAAAGAAATTGTTGGTAAGGGAAGCTTTAAGGTTAAGAGTTAGAAAACCAGAAAATGAAGAAGGTGAAATTTTCTTAGTTAACAAGAAGAATTTAAGTGTAAAAAGTTCTAATAAATGGATTGGAGGGTATTTATAGGTTTCTCAAGTGGCGGTTCATCTCCCAAAGTAGCCGGCCGTCAACTGACACACATTTAATGCCTCGACGACTGGACTAACAAGATGTTTCCACTATTCTTATCACCTACGTCATGTATCCATCGTCATGATTTATCGAAGTGAAGACCGAGGGGTCATATTATTTTTCATCCTTTACTCTCTGAAAAATGAGGGGACTATCTGTATACGGGTAGAACCGAGATCGATGCTTGATCGAGCATCTGGAACAATAACCAGGCTCGACACATCTGTAAGAGATCGAAGATACAAATGAAACTGAGCTCGATATCAAAGTTCGAAGTTCGACAATACCATCAGATTTGCCCTCAAGTTTACCGAAGGCACGACCAATCCTGCTTCTAACGGCCTCGAAGAAAAGCTTTGCCAACTCATCGGATAAGGATCCGATATTCTCGCCATTAACCAATCATTATGGCATAAATTACGGAATTAAGTCAAAAGGGGAGCTAACGGTCTACATAATTTGATATAAAATAATGTCTTAAAAGCCTAATCTCCCTAAATATATAGCGAGGAAACTCAGTAATTGGGGGGGGGTGGGGGGATTGTAACTCACTTCAAAGAGCAAGATACTATTTTTTCCAGCTTTGTTCATATTATTCTGGCTTCAATAACGTCACATCTAAATTCGAAAGAAGTTAACCTTGCGAGGCTTAAGTTGTTCAACCTGCATGGTTTGCATTTATTTTTCTACTTATTCTTCCATTTTTAATCTGATTTCTCACTTTGTATCAAATTAGATCACATATCCTTAAAACCGCGTATAAATTTAATTATTACCCGATTTTGGGGGCAAACATACATATATATTAATAGAATTAAATATAGTTTTAGGTCAAATAAGTTTCTAAAATTAGTTTATTTTCAAAAGTGCTTTTAAAAAAAGTACTTTTGGTGAGAAACAATTTGTGTTTGACTAATTAGTTTGAAAAATACTTTTGAGTAGTAATTAATATATGGTCAATCTTTTAAAAAGTGCTTATAGGTGTATTTTTCTTAAAAATATTTTTCAAAAAAATACTTTTGGGAAGAAGCTATTTTTTTATGCATCTCAAAAACTGATTTTGCTTCTACTCAAAAATATATTTTTCCTTCTAAAAGTTTGGCCAAACAACTTAAGGAAAAAAAAACACTTTTGGAAAGAAAAAAAAAATACTTTTGGAAAGAATAAAAAATACTTCTGAAAAGTTTGGCCAGATATGCTATTAGATCATTGCTCTTACCTAGCTCAAATTGTAAGTGCACATTATGAGGGAGAAAAAAAACTGAAATAGTCCCTTAAACATAGGATTAAGTTCAATTTAGTCCCTTATACATCTCTCTACACATTATTAGTCCTTAAGTTTGAGAAAGTAGGTAGGATTCTTTATATTAGTCCAAGATATACACTAACCCTTTACTTAACGGCGAAGGCCACTTTTTTTTTCCCTTTTCAATCAAGAGAAAGCCACTCAATAACCAAAAAATGTTATTCCAAACAGATAAAATGCGTCAATCTACAGTTAACCGTGTGTTGCAGTAGAGCAGAAAAGGTACGTGTGGGTATAATTTAATAGCTAACAAACTGTGATAGCTAACAAGGCATTGAGTGAAATATGTACAGGGCATTGAGTGAAGGAGGAGATGATATTACATACACAAACTGTGATTTCTTGCAACGAGGGAATAAGCTTCTGCCATGCAAAAAATAGCTAACAAGGTGACATTCTTTTTCTGTAATAAGAAAATAGTGTCAAATAATATAGAATGGATGGAGAATAACTCATACAACTACCCTTCCAGAACAATGAAAACATACACTTATTGAGCGCCTTTTTTATTTATCTTACGTAATTTTATACCTTAAGAACATAAAATGTCTGCTTCGGACTTCAGTGTGATTGCCACTTTATTTTACAACTGAAATACCGAGTTATTAACCAAGTTTGTAATAGAAAGTGATTGGGAAATTCTTTATCACTCAAATGGAATTGTTTCCAAACTAATTATTCCCCTTGGAGGGATAGGCTTGTGAGGGGTTGTGATTTCCTTTCTTCAGAACTGAAGTCTTATACCAGCTCATGAATTTAGCTATGAACTCTGCAGTGAAAAAGAGGGAAAAAGAAAGTAAAAAAAAGAGTCAAATCTTTTAGCAACATTGATACTCAACTCTTTTTCCATTTGGACTTTTGTGGCGTAAATCAGATGTTATATGAACTTGATTTCTGAATTACCACTGCATTGCCATATATATGGCCTCAGGTGAAAAGTATAGCATATAAAGATAAAAGGGAATCAAAGTGTCAAGAAAGTATAACCATAGGTGAATATATATATGTGATCCTCTAATTTTATGTGTGTCCTAGTAAATGCTTTCAATTCGACAACTCCATATTAAGTTGTTGGACTATCTTAGTTTTTGAACTTATGAGCACTAAATCATGTGATGGAACTTTGGAAAATTGTGATAGAGCATAGATTTAGGTACATTACGATGGTAAGAAGAGGCAATTTGGATTCATATTAGGTAGTTCTACAACAAACGACTATATTTTTGCTAAAATTGATTGAAATTATAGGGAAATGAAGAAGGATCTCCACATGATATGCATTGGCATCAAAATAGAGTACTAAGAATGTCTATTGGTGGGTGCTTGAGAAGAAATTAATTGGTATAAGATATAGTAAGATTAGACGAGATTGTGGTTCCTAAATACAAATACTTAAGATATCTAAGACTCAATCTTCCAGGAAGATAGATAAAGAATTAACACATATGATTAAAATATGGTGACTGTAATAGAGGAGTATTATAGGAGCGACAAATGCTTTAATGAAAGATTTGGTGCCTGATTAAGAGAATTGTCTTTTTTATTCTTTAAGGAAAGATGATGAATACAGTTTCCATCAAATGCTTGTCTTACCTTCAACCTTCATAAATTGGAGAACAATCTTTTTCACTGCATCATTATCACTTTTTCCTTGTTCCAGATCCTTTGAATTTATCTGAATGAGAAAAAAAGAGAGAGAAGTTTAGTTATTTGCTTCTGTATTAATGTATTGGTGAACATAGAATGACTATATAATAGTGAATTAAAATTCATTACATTGTACTTCATTTTCAGATTGTCAATTTCCTTGTGGAATTGGTCATCCAAATTACTCTTTAGTTCTTCTACCAAAGTCTAACATATAACGAAATGAAGAAAAAAAAGGATTAAGAGTTAGTGAAAAGTTCAGTTATTTTCCAGCAATAGTTATAAGGACTAAGAACCTCTTACATTAAAGATGAACTCAGCAGACACGTTGTGCTCTATCAAATTTTGCAGCTTCCCACGGATATCATATAGCCTGAGAGAGAAATGAACTCTTGATGTTAGTATTATGAGTGCCAGGAACTCTTAATTGGGATGTCGAAGAGCCTTAGTGTGAAGTGAACAATGTCCTCATAGTCATAGAAATGTCTTTGTAATGTACTCCGTCCATTTCATATTATATGACAGTGTTTGGCCGGAAAAAAGAATGATTTTGGCACATACCAAAAGCACCCTTAGAAGTTAGAACTTCTGGTTTTAAGCATGTTATGACATTTCTATGGCTATAAAAGCATGTTGTTAAGGGTGACATGGAAAGTTTAGAGTAAAAGAGTTCCCAAATATAGAAAGGCGTTATCCTTTTTTAAACAAACTAAAAAGGAAAGAATGTCACATAAATGGAACTGAGAGAGTAACTTTACAATGATGTGAAATTATACTCACTGCTTCGGGCTTTGCTCCTCAATTATGTTTTTAGCAATCTTTGCAATGTCATCTTCCCACCCTGTCTTGATTTCTTGATTCTCAGTCAAGCAAGTGCTGATAATTATACATTCTGCTATAGTTAGTGAGTGGACAATACAAAAGAATAAGCTATTTGTAAATAGTCAATCTTGATAGAGGATTGTGTACGTAATTCATTCTCTATAAAAGCTGAACATTACTTGAAGTGCCAAGTAGCTTCAAAAGAGCGAATTGCTTGACGTAGGTTACTTTTGGAGTTACTAGCAATCTGTGCTGCCAGTTTATGTGGTAGTTCTATTTCTTCCTTTTTTGCTATGAATTCCAAGACGTCTACAATCTGCCAACAAGAAAATCTTTTCCAAGTTAGTTAAAGAAAAAGAGAGTTGTGCATATTATATTTGAGTTTAAGTAACTTGCTATAACATGTTAGATTATAGTAATAGTGTAAAAATCTTTACGTTCTCAATATATATTGATTAAATCCAATACGTATTGGTACCATGCATGCGCACCTCGTCATCTGAAGGTTTTTGGAGATGAACAACCTTACAAATAGACTTAATTGGCTGGAGCTTGGTGATATCACTGCAGCAAAAGAAGACCTTATAACAACCTGTATATCTTTCTAACATCCATTTGGTATATAGCAAAACATCTGTTGATAGCTTGTCAGCTTCACCAAGAATGATAGCTGTGTACATTACAAATGAAGTAAGTGATAGATCATTTCTATGGCATTCTTTGTCCGCTTTTGGGTAATACAAATTGCAAAAGCTTGTAATACCTTTACAGTCATCATGATGGCAAGGTGCTGATCTGATGGATGCTTTGTGCTTTCTCTCATTGATTAGTTCTACGATGACATGTTTCTCGTAGCCTTTAGTTTCAGAGAGATTGATCTCAACATGTTTCTTTGATTCCTTCACATTTACTTGGATGCTCGGCACTGCTTCTCCCTGAAATGCATTGCATTTTGAGAAGGTCCTTTCACTGTTCTACTTGATTTATTTTGATTTAAACTTCTATGTTTTGACATGTAAAAAATAAGATTTTAACTTCCGTGCATTGATAATAATGTCTAATTTTCCATAACCAGTCTAAATGTTACACTGTTATAAGTTAAAACCATTTAAATTTATAAGCTGGAGATGTGCTTTTTATAAATACATGAAGTGATATTTGTAGCTTTTACAGTCATATTCTAGACCGAAAGATAGTCTGTCATTGGATGTTGTAGTTGAATGCTTAAAATTATTTCTACAATATTAGTTTTCATATTGACATACTTTCAGGGGATACAAATGAATACTTGCCGTCTGATGCCTTGTGCACATTTGTCCCGTGTTGTGATCATGAACGAGTAGAATGTTTCATGAAATGTATAGACTTTTATGTCTTTAGAAGACTTGAAAATTACTCCATTTATTTCAATTTGCTGCTAATTTTCGTTAGTGAGGCTCGGTCTGTTATCCTTGGAAAACAGAGATCCTTTTAGTAATAAAAGATGTCACTTATATTATGGCAGTATACTGGTAAAACTTTTTTCATATGTTCAAATGCCACCAATAATAGAACATCTAATGGGCTCTATATATGAAACACATTTTCAGATCTTTGTATGCATAATCTATGAACACAATACAAGGGTCTTCATACCTTTAAGTAGAACACCTTGCACTTTTCTCTTGCCTGTAAAAGCAAAGAAACTATCATCAGTCGATGATTTGATAAGTGCTGATCTAGAACATGATATCGGCGTTTCTTGGATTTAACATACATACACTGGCATTGTTAAATTGATTTATACCATCAGCGTAAACATGTTGTAGCAGGTAGCCAACCTTTTTTTTTTTTTTTTTGGGTTACTAATCTTACTTTCCATGCATAGTTATTTGTAGTTACTTTTAAGGTGACTTATTGCTTGAAAAGTTTGTTTGCACTTATAGTATATAGAAGTTAAACTCGTGATATTTACAACTCACGTCTAGCTTTTTAATTACTAAAGTGGCAAATTAACATATTTTCTGGATTAAACCTTTTGATACTTTTGTAGCTTTAAAGAGAATCAATAAATGTACCTGTATTTTATCATGTCCAAAAACTTCGCGAAGCAAAGCAAATATCATGGTTCTTTTCCCTACTCCTGGCTGTCCTGCAAATATATAATGACGATTACTGCCATCTGTTTCTGCCTGCAAATTTTAGAATTCAAAAGAAGTGTCTTTTCTTAGTATTTTAGCTATGAATAAGGAAAATTTTGAAAAAAGATTGTTCAAGATTATTTCTCATACCAGAGCCTTCAGTTCAAGTGCAGTATTTCTATTGCATAGAAAATCTTTAAGAGCATTAGGCCTATACTTATCAGCCCATTTAAATCTTTTGTCTTTCTGTTCTGGACTTGTAATATCCTTCTCTTTTGTAGTATCTTTTTCATCCTCTGTAGTTTGAGTTGGTGAAGCTGGTAATGGTACTGCTTCAATTTCTTCATCTTGCAATGATGTTTGCAATATTAATGGAGTTGGCGGTGGAGATGGTATTGACAATTTTGGTGGTGATGTTATTGGTGGTGCAGGGGCTGGTGGTAGTACTACTATATTTGTTTGCATTTCTGATGCTCTCTCCCTCAAAGGCTTCCCCTTATCTGATTTTGAAAGTCTCTGTCTGCTTTTTCTTGAACATTTTCTAACTCCTTTCCGATCTATACCAAGTTCTTCTCCGATTGTCGTTCTGATTACTCCTTTATCTTTTGTCTCTGATGAAGATGAATCTTGGATGTTCTTGTTCCCAATAGAAGTATTCAAGGAGAAGGATGTTCTTTCTTCTTTGCCTTTGCGTACAAAGTAAGATGCACTCCATTCTTGTACCTGTTGAGACATAATATAATTAAGTAATTAAAAATATATATGCTCTCTTAAACAGTTTAAGCTTTTAGACTAAATGGTCACGCGCTTCAACATTACCTTGCTAGCTAAATTGGATTTAGAACTTGAACTTGTAGAAGAAGCTGATATGCTATCTTTTCCAGGACTACTACTAAACTCTGCTAATAACTTCTGTCGATTAATCACTTTGGACGAATCAGTAAGTCCTTTATAATATGGACTTCTTGCTGAGTATCTCTTTTCTTCTTGAATTGCATTTCTTTTATTGAATTCCGCGAGATTACCAGCTGTTAAATTTGAGTTCTTTGAAGATGAGCCACCCTTTCTTGATATAAGCTCATTTGCATTTTTAGGCCATGTTGGTTTTAATGAGTCAGCTGATTTGGAGGATCTGACTGAAGGAGGTATTGTAAATGAGTTTGTAGGACAATTTTGAGTTTCTGATATGTTGCAGGGAACAGATTTTGAACGTGGGATTGATAGACTCGGCATTGAAGAGCTGAGATTGGAAGTTGCTGGGTTTTTTCTTGTGTAGAAAAGAGGATTAATAAGTAAGTTAACTCAATTATGATATTAATGTGAATGGAAAAAAGATACTTTCAACAGTAGGTCCATGGGCGATCATCTAGAGAACATTATAAGGGATGTTACGTTATTAACAATGTTTATTTTTCTTTCTTGAACTTAAGTCAAACCTCTTTGCATGGCTGTACTATTAGTGTAGAGAGTATAGCAGGCAAAAGTCCATGCAAAAGCAGCTCACCAGTTAAAAGGTTAATCTATCTCTAGTCTTTTAACTTTTGTTGTTTTTGGTTCCAACTCTAGGGATGTTTGTGCTTTATATCACTATCTCCTATTATCCTTAATGAGTTTAACTTTTATATACCGATAGTATAAGAGAATTTCTACCTAAAAGATTAATTATTTGCAATCATCCATAATAAGTGCAATTGCTGACTTGACAAATACACAATATCATTGCTCAAGGAGGAGGTAGAGTATTGTACACGGGTTCACATGAATTCAATAGCTTTATCTTATTTTTGTATTAAAAAATTCATTAAATATGTATAGATATTTAATTGCGAACTTAGTAACGGGTTCTGTCAATTCTTATAGTTGAAGTTTACCCATAACGATCTTATGTGTGACCTGATTCTGTACCGCTCCTCCCCCATCTTTGGCACAAAAAATGAGCTACAAAGCAAGAACAAACACCACAGAGAGAAGTAGTAATTATATATATTAAAGGAAAAACCAATAGGTGCCTTTAATATATATTGTGATTTGTGTGAGATCGTATGAGCTCGTCTTAGCAACTAAAGTTGAAACCTTATCATCAAAATGTCCTTACTGTAGTAATTTTGCACTAATTCTTACGTAGTTTCCTTCATGGTGGGTAAACAATATATACTTTGTATCAATTTAAATTAAAGAAAACATATGGAAAAGAAAGATAATTAAGTAGACGTCACTTTTCCTCTTAATGGATTTTATGATGTAGACATCCCCCATATAAACAAAATTTAAACCTTTTTCACATTTAAAAAAAAAAAAGAAAAAAAGAAGAGGTTTTCTACATAAAGAACTTTTTTAATAATTACAAACAACTTTGTCAACTTGGTTGTCAATGCAGTAGCTGTCACAAAGTTGATCAATTCTAACATATCACGACTCCAAATAATATTATTAAATAATATTGATTCCAAAACGTTCAATATATAGAGAATATCAGCCTGCTTTCTAGAACTTAATTGGGTAAAAAATGTTATAAATATAGGCCTTAAATATTGTTTATCTCGAAGGTTACGTGTGGTGGGACTTCGGGATATCCACAAGAATCTTTTTAAAAAAAACTTATAACAAAGCTTGAATTCCCATATTTTATTCTTCTTTTTTTCTGTAGTTTATGCAAGATTTTTTTTTTTTTTTAATAAATAATTTATGACATTTTCCAAATGTTGTACATGTCTTTTTCAAGGTATGTGAAAATAGTTGCCTCAGCGAATCACTTCCCTTTCAGATGAGATCATCTCTGATTTATTCCCCAGCTTAGCAGTTATCCTCGTAGACGAAACTTGTAAAATATGAAAAGTTATACGGGAAAGAATTAATGTTTGCATCAAACTAAACAACTAATGAATGCGTTTTATTTATGCGAAGGTGTTAGCAATGGAATTGAAGAAATAAAGAAAGGATTAGAGGAGTTTGTAATCTTAAATATTTTGAAGTTTATGCGGTTATATTATCATATCATTGTAAAATGAAAAGCTTAAAAGCTTTTTTCTTGTTTTGCTAATAAAAGCTTAAAAAGTTAGTTAACTACATATAGAGCATTCTCTTTTTTCTTTTCTTTTTTTGGGAATAGAGTGTCATATAACAAAGAACCGAAGTAAATCATAAGAGTTACTGTACAAGTTAAGGTGAAAATACTTTGCTAGTAAATTGTGTTCAAAATCAGAAAATGGAGAAACAATAATAAAACATAATGCAATAAACAGAAATAGAAAATAATTTCGAGCCCACAAGTTGCTTCTGTATCATTAAGGAATTTAATACCCTCACGCTTGCTCAAGGTTTTGAATTAATTTCTGTCAGGATAGAACGGAATAACTACTTTGTGTAGTGGTACTATAAATTACAGAACATCAGCGAACTCAAATGGCGGAGCAAATCACACTTAGATCCTTACTTTTCCCCTTGAAAAATAATGCAAAAATGTAGAAGAGGGAGGAGAGTGTTTGCAGATTTCGGTGTCTAAAAAATGAGGCTAATCCTATGTATTTATAGCCAACGAAGTTGAGTTTCAACAGGTGCAAAGATGTCTGCCATTTGACAAGGTGTCTATTCGGCAAAAAATATTTAAATTTCTATTAAATTCAAAGTTGAAGTCGTAGCTGAGTGACGACAACGGTGAGATGCTTGCTCTCTTCTCAACTCTTGAAGAACTAGAAGAAGTGCTTCAATATATAAACACAAGAATTTTTCTCTTCCTATCCAATGAGGGACAAAGTTTCTTTGTAAAAGGAACCAATTCAAAATTTTGTTTCCTTTCATATCTTTTCCCTCCATTTTCCACTCACACATGAACTCAAAAAACTCAACAAATAAGGATCTCTTTATTTCTTCATTGCGGCTTCTCGCATCATTTTCTTGAAAAGACATTATATCATGGTGGAAGAGTATAAAATGAGTAATGTTTACCATTTCATTATTCACACAAAAACCTTCGCTGACACATTGAAAGGAATAGTTTCACACAAATGAAGACTTTCTGAATACATTTATAAGCAAATCATACATGTTTGGTGCAAATACAAGATGCCCGTAAGTTAATGTATATTGTGCTAGCACAATAAACTATTAACTTATTTTACATTTGACAAAAATTTTAAGGAAATAATTCAGTAACATCATTTCTATACAAGATTTTGTTAAAGAATGTTGTACATCGACATCCGACTAAACGGAGATTAGTCCGTTTTCATGGAAGATTTATCTCTCGTTTCTTTCTCAATTTTACTTTTATTGATTGATTTATTTATTTAATGTTACACCAAAAATAAGTAACCGTGGGAAGTGGAGAATCATGGTCAACGGCTGAATTCGCGTTGACCAAAAGAGATCCAAATGAGGCATATGATAAAAGTGAAGGGAGAGGAGGAAAATAGTATACAAGCTTCCTTTTTAAATTAATATAAATACATTTTTAACACATTAAAAGGATTTTGCTGAAGTCAGATAAGGAAATTCGGTGCTTTTGAATTGGTTTCTTTTTGGGCTACACAATTAGTAAATTAGGAAATGTGTTAGGTAAGGACTAAGGAGTATAGCACTGAGAATGGGGTGAAAAGGAAGAGAAAAATCATGGAAATGGAAATTAAAAAGGCTAGTGTTGCACTCTTTTTGATCTATTTATATATCAACAATGGTAGAATAAAACAATAGTGTTGAAAATTCATTATTAGAATTTATCCTGCTGAAAGTTTTCTGTTAGATCGACCCCTACTAATAGCTTTAACCCATAAGACAAAAGAATGAACTTAAACTAAAAATAGCCAGCGAATGTATATTATATGTATAATTTATGTATTAAATGTGTATAATTATGTATAATCTATGTATATGGCTAGAAAAAGTAAACAATTAATATGACCGGCTATTTTTGTAAAAATCCCTAAAATAAAATAAAATTTGTTCCGACTCAGTAATGCAATTAGATAGATTTTCAATGCAAAGAGATCATAACTAGCCATATAAATCTTTTCAATGTAAATTAATAATTACATTAATATGGATCACATAGTCGAACTAGTTTTCAAAACTCAGATATAGTGTTATATACCATTCTATGCCCACAAGAATGTATTACAAAGCAGAAATCATTGGATGGAATAGGAATAATTAAGGCTATATTTCAAGACAAAAAGAACTCCAACTTAATTAAAGATCGCAACTTGGTGCAATGGGTGCATGTTCCTTGTCTAAAATTTCAAAAACCTTGTTTGCTATTGCACTTGCATATACTGTTGAACCTTCACAAATCTGCATACATTGTCAAAAATACCCACAATTATGTTTCCAAAAGCCTCAAACTTCCTGAATATAATAGCTTAAAACACAATTTACCTAAATCTGAACAAGTTCAAATCTCTAACACCTTTTTTTTCAATACGTTATTTGGCATTTAAATATAGTCTTGAGAACACAATTTTTCCGAAAAACTATTCCAAGAATAGTACACTGATAGTCTAAATGTTATGTATACGGTCAATGTATATAAGTTAAAACTCATATTAAACATATGTTTTGCAATCACTTAGTTATCATTTGACGTGTGACGGAGCCAAAATTTTCACTAAGGGATGTCAAAATATAAAGAAGTAACACACGGAAAAGTCAAGGGGAATCAACATATATAATAATATATACATATAGTATAAAAATTATCGAACTACACATTGTAATTTTCAGGACGAACTTTGGATAAGCTGGCTCTGCCACTGCATTTGACATAACATATCATACAAAAGGAAGAAGAATTAAGTACCTTGGAGTTGAAGAGGTAGCTATAGTGATCACCAATTAATCCTCCAGAAACATGATGGATATCCAGCTGAAACTCATTAAAGGCTTTTGAAACAAAGAGAAGGCAATTCATTCTCTTCTGTTGTTGGACAAGTTTAACAGTCACTTCATCATCCATAATTCTAACATCAACTTCAGTATTCTTTGATTTCTTTTGAAGCCATGAACTCCTCATATTCACATGATTCTCAGCAGCTTCCATTACAGTATTGAAACCACATGAACCATCTTCTGTTCTTTGCCTTTTGACCCTCTCTTTCTTTTCTACTTCATTCTTTAGCTCATTTACTTTTGTTTTCAGCATATTGATGTACCCAATAGCATCCGCAATAATTGTTGCTCTATCATTCTTGTATTCACAAAAAATATGTCAATTTAACAAAACAAACCCTATTAAATCCCTAAACAAGTTATCCTTTTTCTTTAGTACAAAATTTTGTTATAACAACACAATTTATGCTCTATATGTCATTCTTGAATAGCCAAAATCATGTAGACTTACATAACAGCAAAGATTGATTGACAAGAGAAAACAACAACAACAACAAAACCCAGTGTAATCCCACAAGTGGGGTTTAGGAAGGGTAATGTGTACACAGACCATACATCTACCTTGTAAAGGTAGAGAGACTGTTTTCGATAGACCCTCGAAATAAAGCAACAAACAATATTAACAATAAGTTAATAGGGTAACGGAAGTGAATGACA